TGTTGGAGGAAGTCCTGCTTCAGGGAATTCCCCTCCAACGTACAAATCCCACAGGAGGAAGAGTTGGATTCGGGCTGCCGCCCGCTCCGCTTCCAAGGTTTCTCTGAGAGAACCGATGTGCTCTGAGATCACGGTGGTTTGGCCTCCAGCAGCGGGGCAATGTTATTAATTATCAGTAGTCTGGTCCGGATCTCGTTATGTTGATGATTCTCCATGACGTACACTGCACAAAAGGTGAAAACCAGGATTACCCCTGAGAGCTGATTTTAAGCCACGTGAACAAAGGTCGATCTTTATGCAGTGCATCAGAGCTAGAGATGCTCCCAAGGCCTGAAAGCGAACTATGAAACCATGGTGACCTGATGTTTGTGTTTGCAGATGACATCCAGGTTCGGTTCTATGAGGAGGATGACTCGGGTCTCACCTGGGAGGCTCTGGGAGACTTCTCCCCCACAGACGTTCACAGACAGGTGAGCATTCGAGCATTCCTGCATTCGGAGCTGCTACTTTGAACTGCAGGTGTTGGGAGTGTCATTAACCGTGCCCGTTACTGCACCGACAGTTCGCCATTGTATTTAAGACGCCGAAGTATCGAGACCAGAACCTGCAGAAACCGACGTCTGTGTTCGTCCAGCTGAAGAGGAAGTCTGACAACGAGACCAGCGAGCCTAAACCCTTCACCTACCACCCCCAGATATTAGGTAGGTCACATGACCCCGCTCTTCCTCTGGAGTTGGCCAGAAATGAGTCAACTCAGGTAATGCGTTACCTGCAGGTCCCTAATACTCCTCTCAGGCCTTTATCTCTTCTTTTTCCCCCACAGCCTGATTTTACTTTTACTTTCAACAAAAAGAAAATTAATAAAACTCCAAATTATTAAAAAAAACCACTGGAACGATTACAAGTAAATCAGCTGGAAACATTAATAAATAGCAGCGGAAAATTTCAATATTTATATTAATGTTTTTACTATCTGTGTCCCAACACTGCCCCCTGCTGTTTGATCATCCATCACCTGATTGATTTATTAACGATTTTAAATGTGGGATGCCACAGAGGTTAGCATGGCGTGAACACGTGTGTGTTTTTAGACAAAGAGGAGGTGCAGAGGAAGAGGCAGAAGACTTTACCCAACTTCCAGGACTTCAGTGGTCATGGAGGAGGAGGTCTATACAGAGGAGGAGGGGGAGGTCCGGCTGCTGGAGGAGGACCTGGATCCACAGGTAGAGTCTGTGTTCTGGTCTGCTCTGCGGTTTAACACATACCTGAGGGTGACGTTATGTGATGTCATCATTAATCTCTGTGTTTGGATTTTCCTCAGGATACCCAGGATACCAGGGCTTCACTACCTACAACTATGGAGGAGGAGGTGGAGGAGGAGGAGGTTTCTCCACAGGGTACTCAGCGGGTCTGGGAGGAGGTGGAGGAGGGATCAAACACGGTGAGGAGCTACGATGAAGTAGTAGAGCCACTCAAAGTAACTTAGGAGCTGGGAGAGGTTGAAATAATCTATGATAATCTATAATACAAATAAAGTAACAGATTTAGGAGCGTGACCTTTTAACCTTTAACCTAGTTAGGAGGAAGAAATAAATCATGACTCAGTAATCTCGGATAAAAGCCAAGAAAAGTTTTGGAAGTCATTAATATTATTATTGATATTATGTGAAATTTAGGTGACATCTAAGACAATCTAGTTAAAAACAGATTATAAAATCTCGATTTATGAGAAAATTCCATCTCTGAGATTATAAATCTGTAAATTTATGTGGAAAAACTTGAAAATCATCTGAGAAAACACAACAAACGCTGTTTGTTTAAAGCCTCTCAGAGCGGCGCCGCAGACAACGACGGGGACGACAACGACCCGGACGACGACTCGCCATCAGGAGCCGTGCTGCGAGCTCCAGCCCGGCCCGAAGCCGTGGAGGTCAGGGAGAGGAGCGAGGAGGGAGGGGTCAGTGTGGAGCCTGAAGCAGAGAGAGGTAAACGTTATTCTAAATTTGGCGGAAGAGTTTGTTTTTCCCGCCTCGGTGTTAGACCTCTGACGCTGCTGCTTTCTAGTGACACCGGGGGATTATTTCCTGCGTGGCGCTCCCGGGTCCACTCAAAGATGCTCAGATCACACTGACGGCATCAGAAAGCTCAGGATAAATTCAGTTTTTACGAAGCGTTTAGGCGTTCCACACATCCGATCAAGTCTTTCTTTCTCCTTCAGAGTTCGACGCCAAGGAGCAGCTGGATCAGGTGATCAACAGACTGCTGGAGGCCATCTTTCAGTACTCGGTTACGGCTGACTCGGCGTACCTGCTGGCTCCACAGCGCTCCCTGATGGCCGTGCAGGATGTAAACGGAGACACGTCAGTAAACGCATCGTGATGATCAGATGTGCGCACATTAAAAGTTTTTATTCGGCCGTGTAGTGACGCCTCCTTTTTCTCTTCTCAGCGGGCTCCATTTGGCTGTTCTCCACAACCAGCAGGAGGCGCTGAAGAGTGTGACGCAGGTGGTGTCTGCCCTGCCCGGAGAGGAGGTGCTCAACATGAGGAACCGCCTGTACCAGGTGTGGAGCTCGTCGTCTCCAGCCTTACAGAGCTGAAAGCTTCAGGTCACAGAGCTAAAGCACCTTCCCTCTGTTCCCCAGACTCCTTTGCACCTGGCCGTTATCACGCAGCAGAAGGAGGCAGTGGAAGCGCTGCTGCTGGCTGGCGCCGACCCGACGCTGACGGATCGTCACGGCAACACAGTGCTGCACCTGGCAGCTCAGCATGAGGGAGAAGGGATGATCCAGTTTTTACTGCAACACAGAGAGCTGAGAGAGCTGCTGGACCAAACCAACACAGCAGGTACACACACACACACACACACAGAAAAACACACATTTTTTCTTGTATTATAGGAGAAATGAGTCTTGGTGAGTTTTCAGGTTTAACAGACAGACAAAGACACGGGCACGTCAGAGAGCCTGATCAACTGTACACTTCCTGTTATCCTTGAAAACTTCCCAGAGTTACTGAATGGAAATATCCTGAATAGCTTCACAGTCGAGTCCATAAACGTCACCAAATGTGCGGCTCCAGCAGGGTTTTGTGGAGTTCGTGTTGTTTGATGAAGGTCGGTGTCATCGATCTGCGAGTTATCCCTAAATAACTTTGGTGTTTTAGCACGATAACTTGAATCTGTAAAATCAGAAAGTCGAGGTAACAGCGACTGTTTTTGTAAGATTCCTGTTTTTGTCAAAGAGACAGTGCGGGGGTGTGGTTTTATGTATTGCTGTGTCAGACGTTATCGTTACTGTCATCTCATTTGAAAACCTACCGGTAAACATGTTTGCAGGTCTGTGTGCGATCCACCTGGCGGTTCTGGTCAACCAGCTGTTTTCTCTCAGGGAACTGCTGGAGGGCGGGGCCAATGTAGAGGTCCAGGAACGCAGCTGTGGTCGAACGGCCCTCCATCTCGCCACCGAGACTGACAACGTATCGCTGGCGGGCTGCCTGCTGCTGGAGGTACGCCTGGGTTATTGGGCAGACTGGGAGCTAACAACCAATCAGAGCAGAGACCTTTGCTGAGGCTTTGCTGTCTCAGCATCAGAGCTGCAGCAAATTATTATCTCGTTAATAAAGTGGTTACACATTCATATAGATGCTGATGTTCTCTCTCTCCTTGATTTGACTTTAACTGATGAAGGATCAGATGACGACCAGCGGTGGGCGTCTCAGTGCTGAGGAATCTTTGTGTGATGTAACTTCACCTTTGAGTCGCCTTTGCATGAAGTGCTGTTTGTGTGTTTCTGCCATCAGGGAAACGCCAGGGTGGACTGCTGCACTTTTAATGGCTCCACCCCCCTCCACATCGCTGCGGGTCGAGGCTCTGTCAAGCTCACGGCTCTCCTCATGGCTGCAGGTAGATTTTTTATTTAAGCTCAGAGTTCTTTTGTTCACCAGGAGCTCATTTACTAGCATCCGCCTGAGGCCCCATCATTTCTAACGGCTTCCTTTCTGAAGAGGAGGAAGCCTGTGAGACGTCCTGATCTCATGTTTAATAAGTTCGTGTTTGGGTCTTTTCAGGTGCAGACCCACAGAAGGAGAACTTTGAGCCACTGTTCTTCAGGGAGGAGGATGAGGAGGAGAGCTGTGAAAAGGAGAGCGAAGATGAGGAAGAAGATGAAGGGTACATCCCAGGGACAACTCCCTTCAACATGGCTGCCACCCCTCAGGTACACGTAGCTTCTGAGCCTCTGGTGAACCTCACGACACGAAGCAGATTAATGAACCCGCAGGTGTGTGTTTGCAGGTTTGGGATCTTCTGAACGGCAAAGAATACAAACCAAAAACACCTCAAACGGCCTTCGTCCCTCCTCAAGGTGAGCTCCTCCCCACACGTGGACACTTTATTACCCTGTGATTGACCACCGTGTTAGACGTGGTTCATTGTTTCATAACCACGAAATACAAAATCGTGACATCGGCGCATCGGTTTGCTGATGAAATGTTTGCGTGTGTAGGCGACCTGGCGAGCCTGGACACAGAGGTGAAGCAGGCGCTGTGTGGCACTCTGGAGAGTGAAGGATGCTGGGAGAATCTGGCTCACAGTCTGGGTCTCGGGATCCTCAACACGGCCTTCAGGCTGAGCCCCTCCCCCGCTAAAACCCTGCTGGACAGCTACGAGGTAACGCACACACACAACACACGATCTCACACACTCCGACACACACTCCAGCATCTGAGTGTTCTCAGAAACCTGGGAAACGCCCCCTCGAGGATTTTGTGGATAAACTGCTTCCCGTCTCTCCTGCAGGTTTCCGGTGGAACGATCAGGGAGCTGCTGGCTGCTCTGAGGTCAGTCGGCGAGTGCAGAGCGCTGAGCGTCCTGGAGGAGGCGCTGCACGAGAGCGAGGAAGCGCCAGCCACCAGCGCAATGAGTGGTGAGCATGCGCACATAACGTGCACGCAACACCGACTGCCAAGTCACATGACCACGAGTCACTGAGCTGCGTTTGTGTTCGCAGGCGAGCTTCTGTGCGCTCGGGTTCAGGAACTGAAAGTGGACACTCGAATCGACAGCGGGGTCTGCGACAGTGGGGTGGAGCTTTCCACGGCGTAATGATCTGATCGGTCCACCTCCAGCTGAGTCCATCCATCCACCCGTCGTCCCTCGACTCGCTCTGGACCGAGTGCGACGCTCGTCCTCGTGATGGGTTCAGGGCTGAAAGTTTCTCTGAGCTTTTTAAACCAGTTTGTAAAAAAAAAAAGGGTCAAAAGAAAACTTGATTGTAGCGCGTGAAAACAGTCAAACTCAACTTTTACTTTTTTTGTTTTGTTTTGTTTTTTTTGGCCACGACACTCCAGCAAAGATGGGATGGGGAGCAGCTTCTGTTCCCGCGGAGCCAATAAAGGAAAAACATACCAAAAATCCCCCCCCGCCTTGGTAAGCTGACGTCTCCTCCTGAGGCGCGCTCTGTTTTCTGTGGATTCGATGGTAAAGTTGTGGATTTGGGGGGTTTTCTGTTCACTTCAACCGCTGAACGCTTCGCACAGTTTGTTCTTTCTGCAGCCGCCTGCAGAGAAAAGGTGCTACGAAACTGAAACGATTGTAAAGGATCAGATGTTCTGTAATCTGTTACTCATCTGGTGTTAATCAGAGGGCAGAAACGCGCTGTGATGACACTTCAGATTAGAGAGAGGTTTACCACAATGGCGATGAAACTGACCTCTCATGGGTTGATAACTTTAGTCCACCTGCCACAGCCATTGTACGATGTGAGGATCTTAATCTTATTTTTTCTGTTGGTTTACAGCTACAGTTTACTCGCACAGGTGTTCCTAATAAAGTGGTCACTTTGGGCAGCATGAGCAGACTCTTCACGGACCCCCTCGACATCTGAAACTCCTCCGGGCGCTTTTTTTTAAAGTATTATTTACTCTCTAAAATTTCAATGACGATATGTTTTCCTCTCGTGACGTCATCATGAACTGAACCTGGTTTTTATTTTGTGTTTTTATTCTGTGGCACGAGTGCTGAGGGGAAACTCAGAGAAACGAAATGTAAGGCATTGTGGGAAAGGTAGTCCAGAGCTGTGGGTAGCTGCTGTTCCTGTTTCTGTAATCCAGCAGATGATATTTATGTTCCTGCCCTGCACTGTACAGTCAAACATGAGCTTTTAACCTTTTTTTAAATAAAATCTGATTGTTTTTTTTTAAATAAATATTCAAATTGTGATTTATTTCCACTCACCTGCTCAGCTGTGGAGTTATCCAGAGAAGCTGAGATGTTGTGTTGAAAAGAAAACATGGTAAGAGTTTCTGATAATGACGACTGTGTGTGTTGGAGACTGCTAAACACTCAGTATATCACAGGCTCAGTTTGAAATAAAGGATTATTTTGAACTATAATCATGCAAAGTTTAACATCAGCTAACCCAGCGTGACCAGACGATGGTTAGGTCCAGTACCTCCAGTTATACTGAATATATTCCAGATTCATCCTGCAGCAGGACGACGAATCATTCATCCGGAAAGATAAAGGACCAGAACAAAAACAACTTGTATTGAACTTATGGAGGTGTTTATAAAACTGGTAAAACCTCCTAAAATCACTGAAGATATCAGTGAAACGAGAAGAAATAACCACAAAGGCTTTACGTCCCAAACATCTTTGATCTGTGATGAAGAGATACAAAAAGGAGTTAAAACACTTTGTACCACAAGATGGCGCAGTGAGTCCAGGGCGATGCGGTAGACCTGGGGTAAACATTTAAACACCGCCCCCTGGTGGTTAAAAACATGACATCATGTTGAAAATAAACGCTGAAAGCTGAGCTGCGAAATGAAAAAGTCTGAATGTCCTTCAGCTTGAGTTAAATTCTTAAAACTTTCTTTCTGAAACATTTCAGATGTGCAATTATATTTCTGTTTCCTTTACAATTTTGTTTTCCAGCTACTCTGAAAACAAGAAAAAGATCAAATCACTGTGCTGTTTTTGTTCGTTATGACTCTACATCACTCTTTTGTGTTTAATCACAAAGTCTGAAGGAATCCCGAGTAAATCTGAAGCTTCATAAATCCACAGTGATCATGATCACCATGACCGATCGTCACCAAAATGATCAGTTTGAGATTTTTTGGCTAGAATTGAGCAGCTCTGCTCTGTAAGGATGACGTTACATTAGAGTTTTTAACATATGAGATGTTTTCACTCTATTTTGTGAAGTAATTACATAATAGCTCCTGTTTTTTTTATTCTTTAGTTGTTTTGTAATTCCTGGGGAGTCTGGCTAATGAGCCTTGTTTTTCTCATTTTACACTTATTTAATTTAAGCAGCATTTCTTCATTGTGTAGAAAAACAGTGACATTATGTTGAAATTGCTCTTTATTTCTTAATAAATGGGATTTAATGCGTGACTTATACTGACAGAAAGTCCAAACCACTTGTGATCTAACTGTCTGTGGCTCTCAGTGTGAAACGATTTTAACCTCCCTGAGCAGGAGGATTAATTTAGCTGATAACGGCGTTCATGTGACCTCTGAGCCTGGCTGATGATGTCAGGGTAGCGGCTCCTGCTCTCAGAGTCCGCTTGTGTTTGTGATGAATAAAAAGAGTCTGTTTCCATTCTTCCACCTGTGAGCGAAGCAGAAACAGACTTTTTTATTCATCAGGAGGAGTCTTAGAGCAGGATTTGATTCCCTGGAATGAAAACAGGACAACAGGAGCTGCAATTTGTTCAGCTTTATTGAGAAAAACCATCACGGAGCTATTAGTTGATCGATCAGCCGCGGGGAGCTCGGTTTGTGTTCCAGTGCAAAAAGAGGACGACAGTGTTGGATGATGGATGAACTAACGGCTCTAACGGTCTAAAAACAAAAGAAACCAAAAAGCCTTCTTCTTCTTTTTTTTTAAAAAGCGGTCTCATCTGCAGGAGCAGTGAGTCCGCTCTGCTTCCTGGTTTCTCAGTTGGCACGTTGACGGCTCAGAGTCTCAGCCCTTCACCCGGAAAGCAGAAAAAACCCAAACTGACAAGCGATAAAAATCAAAGGATGGGACGGGAAGGAAAGGTGAACAAATTGCTGTTACAAGTGGATGAGAGGGGGGCGTGGCCACATGAGAAAACAGCAGGAGGCAGATCACATGGCGTATTTCTGAGTCCAGTCCTGAGCCGTCTTGTTGTACCTGCAGGGAGGGAGAGAAAAGGTGAGGAGGCGGGAGGCGAGAGAGGCTGCAGGACGATGCCATGCCTGAGAAACGCAGACCAAAATCCACCTGCAGCCGTTCACAGGAAACAAAACATCATTGTCACCGCTTTACTCCCACTCGCCACACGTGCAGTTTACCCCAACTGTTAAACACAGGACGCTCCTCAAGCAGCAAAACCTGCAGTTCCTCTAACGCCCACCAGAGGCTCCAGCAGTGAGTCAGTCCCCACAGAAATAAACATGTTTACAGCCCGATACACAAACTGTTTGGTCTCTATAGATAATTTCCCCCTTCATAACACCTGTACATGTGTGAGTTTTATTATATCTCACGTCTTTAGGTTTGCGTTATTTTCTCTCCCTGTGACGTCCACCAGGTCGTCCCTACCTGCGCTCCATGCAGTGAGAAAACTCTGCAGTCATGCTTTATTTGCTTCAACGTGCGTCTGAGACACAGAATCAGCAGGCAGCTCAGGTGAGCTTCGCTCTTACCCTCACAGCATGGCATACTTCTCTGTCCACTCCCTGGCTAGTCTGTTATACCTGAGACCAAGCAGCAGGACACTCGGTTATAAACCTCCACCCGCTGCTCGAAGCCGCTCTCCTCGTCCTTTGAGCAGCCGATTACCTGCAGGTTAACAGGTGTGGACTCACCTCACAGGGTCTGTTTTGTAGATGCGGGCGATCTCTGGCACTAGCGGGTCGTCGGGATTCGGGTCACATAACAGAGAACAAATGGACAAAAGGACTGCAGAGAGGGAAAAGAGAGAGTCAGAGCAGCTCTGAGGTCTGCAGCGTGCTCCTGTTTTTCACACATGACCACAAAAAATTTAACAGTCAGCGGTTTTTTTTATATCAGAGTTGAGCAAAAACATGAAACTGAGTGATTATGAGTCTGTATGGGGGACCAAAACTGCCAACAAACAAGCAAACACATCACATTATAGGCAACAATTATTATGAAAATGTGATGTATTTATTATACTGATTTCATTTGCTTCATTATTTATTATTTACTTATTTTTTTAAACTTTTTAAAATTTTCATTGTTTTAGTTTTGGCAGCTGTGGACCTCCATATTAACACACCTGCAACGACAGCAAGAAAACAAAAAAGAAAAGAAAGAAAAGAAAATGCATATGTTCAGGGAAATGTATATACAGGAGCTAAGCAAAAGTAAGATAGTACATTTGAAAAATAAACAGGAAAATTATTTAAATTAGTTGAAAATAAAAAACTGTAACTCTTAAAAAATAAATGGAAAAATTATAATATTAACAGAAAAATAAATTAAAGTAACAGGAAAATTTAACATACATAAATATGATTAGTAAATGGAAATATAATAGCATAATAATTAAAAGTAATATTGCGCATAAGATAAAAAATAGGTAAGTTAATAATTAAAAAAATAATAATAATAATAAAACCAAAATAAGTAAATAAATAAGGATGAAAATGCTTTAAAAATCAGATCTCAGCTTCAGGTTCAAACTTTATTTTCTGCTCTGTGAACAAACCTGTTTGATGTAAATATCATTATTACCTGTTACAAGGTGAAACTACAACCAAACAGATCCACCTACTGGTCAAAACCTGTACTAACAGTAAAGAATCACTGCAGGACAAAAGTTTTTAACCATTTGTCTCCCTCTGACGGGAGCGTTAGAGTCGCAATCTATAAATGAGATGCCTAATTATAGAATCTTTATTAATAAACTACAAGAAAATTAAAGCTAAAAAAAAAACACATTTCACACATCTTTTCATTATTCTCACCAAAGGGGAGCAGATTTAAAAACTCAATTTCAGGGTTACAGACACAGAAACATTCGGCAGTTTATATGAATGTTTCTTACCTTTAGAGATAGTTAATGCTGGAGACCACTGTGATCTCAATATATCCAAACAGATGCTGCCATTACTGTTTATATTTGGGTGATAAATTCTCGTCGTAAAGGCGACCTGAGCGGGGAGAGGAACCGAAACGACTTAGCATCACTCCAAAATCTCAGACATGTATTCAATTTTTTTTATTTATTTTAATTTTAAGGAAGTTAAAAGCCTTCAAAGGTTTAATAATTTTTTTTTTTACCTTGGGTGGTTTGAAGGGATAATCTGTAGGGAAATGAATAGTCAGGAAAAATACGCCGCCCTGATAGGGACTGTCAGGCTGCAGTTAAAAACAGAGAGAGGTTAAACACTCACATGTTCACACCACGTCACTGCCAACAGTTTGTATAAATATCAGTGAAACGACCAAAACGGCCCCTGAATCGGCTCGAACTCCGGCGCTGTTACACCTGCAGCAGTTCTGTGGATTCAGGTTTTACAAAAAACACGATGCAGCGTTTCCCACAGAATCACGCTCAGCTAGGTTTTCAGTTTCTGCTTGTTTTGACAAACTAACTGGAGTTTTTAGCTCCAAACTCTGAGGCGGAGCAGCTGTTTGATACTTACAGGTCCCATAATAGTAGCTTGCCAATGAAACACTGTAAAAAAGAGAAGGAGACGAGGGTTAGTGCAGCACACTCGTTCCTCTCTGTGAACTTTTGCGTAAAGAAAACTGAAAAGTGGTCTTACTGTCTTCGCCGACAGGACC